ACGGTTTCCTAACTCATTTACATGTGGGTCTTACTAGACCCACAAAATACCGTTTGTGTGATAAAATGAGGATATCGTAGAAGGGTTAATCAATATTTATTTAATCCTTGATTTTGAAATAAAGATAATCAAACCTAATATAGATTTAATTGATTATTTGATTTGATAAAAAAAACGATTAAAACATATCTCGAAATATTCTATTCTTGCATTATACGTCTATATCATTATTCAATTGATCTATCATTTTTCATATTAAAACGTTTATTTAAATCATCTCTATCACTTTCAAGTAGAAGGAAAGCTAAACAATATCACTTCAGTGTTGGGATATTAATCTTACTCATTATATAATCATATAACATTTGAGAATTGTTCGTCTTATGAAAATAAATGATAAAGAGATAGAAATAGAGGTAACTATTTTCTTAATATAGATATCAATTAAAACGTTAGAATTTTAATCTTAAAATAAAATCATGACGACATAATAGGCCACTCAATTAACTCTAGATTATGAGTTTTTTTTTGTCTTGTTTCGAATTGAACGTGATTGCAGAAAAAGTAACATTGATTCTGTATTAGTTATCAAAAAAAAATCTTTCTGTCAATTCAGAATTTCTCGATAGATTAGAATTGATTAAAAATTGTCGATATAGTTCTATCTATCCATGATATTGGACACTTTTCATATCTAACATGTTAAATAGTGCTAACGAGGTAATTTTAATGTTATGTTAAATCAATGGTTTACAATTGATTTCTCGTGTTGTTTAACTTAGATTTCTATACTAAACGAGATTATTTGAAAATCTATCTAAGAGTAAACGTTGTTTCTATATGCTAATCAAGAATATATGTTTATGGAAACGGAAACAGACTTATTTCAAAAATCGATAATCAAATGAAAATCGAAATCGATTCTACAAAAAAAAAATCTTCTTACAATTATAATAAATAAAGTATACAGGCAAAAGAAAATAAAAGAAAAGATGAAGTCTAGGTTTTTTTTCAAGTGTTGTTACCATTGTTTTGTATTTGTTTTCTTAGATTATTGGTGGATTGCTTATGTTAATGATTAGATTCATTTGGCAGATAAATTAAAATTAACAAATGACATCAATACTTTTCCAAATTGGTTCTTGATTTAGCCACACCCCAAATAAAATCTCTCAAATAAGAATCGTCTATTTTATCATAATTTTTTAATAAATAAAAACAAAATTATAATAAATATTAATCATTTAGATAATATTATTTTCGAAAATCTCTTCATAACCAAAGAAATCAATTAACAATTATTAAACGAAATAAGAATAGAATTCTAGAACCTATATCATACCAATAGAAATATCGGATATAGATTGTTTTTATCTTCAATGATAACCATGAATAAGATCGTCGAGAAATATTTCTAATATCTATGGAAATAGTCGATATCCTCGTTCAACTAAATGAAAATATTATTCTAATTATCGATTTGTTTCTTTTATTTTTTTGTTTTTCTCAATAGAATGATTTCATTTATAAAGATATTCAAATATTGATTATATAGATTTGGACAGATAACGATCACTAATTGACACATATTATTGGAGAAATGAATTTTTTTTTGAAATAAATTTGACTCTAATAAAAATATGGTAAAAGGTAGGAAATACGCAACCTTTTTCCGGAATGTAAGTTGTGTGTTGATCAGGGTGACCAAATTGTCTGAAAAATAAGGAAAGTTTCTGAATTTTGAATGTCTTTCTGATTTTTTTCTGACCTTCTGATTTTGTCTGATTTAGTACTTTGTTCTGATTTCTTCCGAATTCTGAATTTTTTATATTGTAGCTTTGTTCGTGATATTAAATACGATTATAAAGCTTTATTATAACCCCCCTCCACAGAATAGAAGCCCAGTGGGCTTCTATTTTGTTTTGAAAATTATAAGTCTGGACATGGGCTTATATTGCGATCAGCTTTTTTCATATTGCAGCTAGAATTTTATCAGCTTCCAAGCACCGAAGTGCTTAAAAATTAAAATCGGAATTTTTAAATTGTCTAAAATTTTTCAGAAGCACTCTTGATTTCCTAGAGACCATAAGCTGGCAAGCACTTGTTTGTCGGCTCAATACTATCGAACCAAGAAAATAATGTGTCGTCCACACTAGGTTCCACATTAAAGCGCTCATAGACTTCAGCATTTCGTGGTACTTGCTATAATAGAAAAAGTGTTGTTAGCATGGTACATTGATTTGGGATACTGTCAAGCTTTAAAAAAGTTGAAAAAAATTTCTATTAGACATATATGAATACAACTTTAACGAACGCGTTCGTCATGGGCGCTTATGCATACTTCAGATATGAAATATAAAATGCAATATATTTTAACTACCAGAACAGAAAACAATATAGAATTAAACCTTTGACGATAGAATAAGAATCTCCCATTTCTAAGAGAAAAATAATGAAGATCTTATAAGTGTTATAATAATCGATATCGCACCATCACTCATTGGTATCTGTTTTTGAGTCTTATGAGCTCTCGCATAGTTGATATCGATCATAGTTAAGCATTTCGAGAAGTCTCATTTTCATTGAAATATTTGCTCATAGTGCTGTCAAGTAAGCAAAACTTCGATCATTCAGTTTTCGAACTCTACATAATTTCATAAAAGGAAGAAACTTAAGAGAGGGTCCGCCAGACCACTTAGCAATTTTATCAGGAGCCGACTGCCGACAAAATTTAGATTTTTGATTTAAGTATCTCAAATGAAAGGTCTAGTCAAGCCATAGCTAAATCCAAAATATTAGCTCATTCTGACTACCCTGTGAAAAATGGCACAGTATAAAGTGATAACCCTTCGGAACCTGGTCAAAAAAATCAGTTTTTTTGGGTGCTCTTAGTATTTTGCACTTTTCTCTGCATCCGCTCGTTCGTTTGAGCTCGGAGACGTCTCAAAAGATGCAGAAATGTTTTTTCTACAAAATTTGGTAATTCATTATGTTCTACAATACCATTTGTCAAGTGATAATTCCAATATACGAGCAAAAATGATCATTGGTGAAAATCAAGATTTTTCAGTATTTTGACTCTAGCCACATTATATCATGCCATCACAAAATGATTTATATATTTTCTGAAAGCCCTTTCAATTCTGCATCGTATAAGGTATTACTTCAATAGTCCAAAACACCAGCGAAAAAAGTTTGTCCAGGGAACAAATGGTGGGGGGTCCTGGCTATGTCTATCCATTCCGGCCTCTACTTGGGTGTGGGTGTGGGTGTGGGTGTGGGTGTGGGTGTGGGTGTGGGTGTGGGTGTGGATCTGTGAGTATGGATGTTTGAAAAGAGATACCCACACCACACCCACACCCTTCTACCAGTTCTTCTAACAGATACTATTGAAAAAATTAAAATGCAAATACAAAATCGTCGAAAACTTTCAAATATTGAATTAAAATCATTTATATTAGATCAAGATTCTCGAACAAATAAACAAAATTGGAATGAAGGTAGAATACTCAAGTTAGATGATACTGTCTTATCATCTAAGTTATATGAAGATAATTGTATCATCATAGCAAAACGTCTACAAGAAAAAGTAAATTATAAGTTTTTTTCTTTTTTTTCACATCATATGATTTCTTTTGTTTTTTTTTTCATAGATTGATTCTGCAGAATTCATTTCTAATTTTGACATGTTTATAAAAACTCTTACTGGAAAGACGATTACTTTACAAGTCAATTCTTCTATGGGTATAGCCACCATAAAACAATTGATAGAAGAGATGGAAGGTATTCCTCCTGATCAGCAACGTTTAAAATTTGCTGGAATGCAATTAGAAGATGGCAGAAATCTTTCAGATTATAAAATACAAAAAGAATCTACTCTACATCTGGTACTACGTTTACGTGCTGGAATGTATCATTTCACCAGTGGTCGACAAGATTTTGATGATTTGCCAAATACAGGAGCTGAAGCAATAAAAAAAGTTCTTGCATTCGAATTTAAACATATGAATCATCCTGAACGTTTGTCACTAGTCGAATTACAAAATTCTCTTTTACAAGGACAAACTCTTCTTTCTAAATTATTTAATGAAACCAAAGATTTCTCTGTATCTAATGAACTTCCACATTTAAAAAATATTTTATTATCGAACGTTGATGAAAATGATGGTGACGAAGAAGAAGAAGATGATGATGATAATGTGTCAAATGAACAATGACAATCAACTCTTCAAAAACAATTACGAGTATTTCGATTATTAGAACATAATGTACTTAAAGATTTACTTATTCAAGAAGAAAAATTAAGACTTAGTCAAGAAACTCAACAATTATTATCAGATATTGAAGATCGAAAAGATATTGATTGGATGGATATTATAGATGATTTACAAACTAAATTAATTAAAAATGCAATTGGTGAAGATGCAACAGAAGATGAAATTCAATATGGTTTGAAGTAAATATTTTATCTCACTGATTACATAAACTTACTTGCTAAAAGTTCACTTTTAAAATGATCTATTTTAGATTGATTTGAGTTGATAGGTAGCTTTTGTCTGAGATGTGTATTGTTCTTCTATGCTCACCATTGTAGAGAGAGAGTGAATGAAACATGTTCATATTGAAAAATTGCTACTTTTTATTTTAAAACAACTATTGTTAGGTATCTAGAATTTATACGAAGATTTTCTTATTATTGTTAGCATTCTAATGTGAACGACATTCTATCAGACTTCAATAATTTCGGCACAGGGCGAAAATCACATAGGACTTCCGGCATGAATTCAAATTGCTCTCAATGACTTTCCTAAAAACTTGAATTTCTATAACAAGTTGGTAGGTTCCATTGTGCTTAGGGGCAGACATTCTCAATAAAATGTAGTGTCCAGCAGGATCACATACTGCTGAGCAGTCTGATTTGAGCCTATTGAAAATGGTGTGATCTTTTGAGATAATTATTACTTCTATGAAATAAATGCTAACATAACAAGTGAAGTGCTCAATAGAACTCGCAAGTAATGATTCTTCAAAATCACTTGTAACTAAAACATGTTTCTTCATAAATTTTGTCAATTTTTCGATGCCACCTTGCTGAAAGAAACCTTAGAACTGTAATTCGATCTGAATGCACGCTGCTGATAAATACTTTTTAATGGAAATGAATATTGATAAGCACTATGTCGTATTGCGGGGCACTGTCCTATCCTAATGAATACCTCATTTTAATGAAAATTCATACCGCCAAGTATTATGATGTGTACCAAATATTCATAGACCAATACGGCTTTTTATAAAGATTAATGAGCGGAATTTCAGACTGAGACGAATATCGAGGTCACACCTTCAACTTTCTCCATGCTATCTACTTAGGCTGTTGCAACCTGAAATCTATCGGTAGTTTGTTTCTTTATCCAGAAATATTATACCATTTTTGAATAGAAATGATAATTAAACAAATCTTATATGTAATTTGAAACGGTTTTTTTTGTTTGTTCTAGAATATTCCGTAGTGCTCATCAATTATATTCAAATGATAATGAATTTCATAATTTATCACTTTATGTTCGACATAATCGAGCAAAACAAGGAAATCTTAATATTGGCGACCCAGCAATTGATATTCAATTGTTAAGTATGAATGGTCAATTTGTTTCATTATTATCTCATTCTCATCCTAATTGACCATTATTAATCATAGCTGGTTCATATACTTGACCACCATTTCGTGGTCTTGTACCACAACTTAATCAACTTATGGATATTTATCAAGATCATGTTGATATGATCACTGTTTATATTGAAGAAGCACATGCACTTGATGAATGGTAAGTTAATTAGAAAATTTATTCTTTTAAGATAATAATAAATTTGAATAAAATAGGCCAATTGGTAGTCGAATATGGGTGACACGTCAGTTGAGCCTTTGACATTTGAGCCCCGACAGATGAGCCTGCACAGATGAGCCTCTCGACGTTTGAGCCCTTCCATTTGAGCCCCCGACATTTGAGCCTCTGGTCACATGAGCCTTTGACATCTGAGCCTTCTCCAGGTAAACCTTCTTGAAAGGGCAATAAAGACATGTGAAATCGTTATATACAATTATGAAGAGTATCGTCGAATTGATTGTCATTTATATATTGCGGTCAAAATTAAAACTCAGTCGCATTTAATATTTGACTGACTTTGTGATCAGGAAAATTTTAAATTTGACTGAATTTTACTTTTGACCACAATATATATATATATTCAGAAAAAACTTGATCATCACTTTTCATATAAAACCAAGAAATGAATACTTTAAAAGAGCTGAAGCTTTGCTTAATTTTTGAAATGATTGATTTCTGTATTGTAATAAATTCATTATTTGGTTAATTAATTCGATAAGCTCAAATGTCAAAGGCTCATATGACCAGGGGCTCAAATGGAAGGGCTCAAATGTCGAGAGGCTCATCTGTGAAGGCTCATCTGTCGGGGCTTAAATGTCAAAGGCTCAACTGACAATGTATCTCGAATATGTTATGTTCAACCAAAATGTGATGCTGATAGAATTCGTATTGCAGATGATTTTATAAAAGCAACAAAATATCAAATACCATTATTAATTGATCCAGTATCAGAAAATAATCCATTTAGTAAAGTTTATAGTCCATGGCCAATTCGATTTTATATTATTGATCATATGAAAAAGTTAAGTTATATAGCTCAACCAATTCAAGGTTCATATCCATTAGAGTTGATTAAAAATGCATTAGATGATGCTATTCAACAATGTCAATAAAAAATAGGTTTTTTTTTCTTTGAGAAATGATGATTATTATCTGTTATTGTGATTTATAAAGTCTAAAAATGATATTTTTCGTTGAAAGCATATTTATTATGCAGACGAAAAATTGATAAATGTTGTTTCTTTTTTAATCACAATAATATAAATAATCAACTCTAGAGAAATTGTATTTCATGTTCTTCTTCTAATCAAGATAAATAAAAATTTTGTTAAAGACATAAATGTAATTTTTGTTATCTAAGAAATATTTGGCAATAATTGAAATAGAATTGAGTTGATTTTTTATTGCAAGATAATCAAAAAATTATTTATTTTAACGGTTGAAACCAGAACTGTCAACAGGCCACTTTTATTCGGCCTGACCAAGCCAGCCAGAAATCCAGGTCAGACCAAAAACAACTACTTGATCTGCAGACTTTTGAGAGAATAGAATAGACTCATTGAATATTTTCCCTAGATTTGTGGATACAATTGTACTATATGCATCAGACATTTTTCTTATTCTCTCACGATAATCTTGATCATATATTGAGTTCTTCTCAATTCAAATGATGAAAGTACAAACTTTTCCACTAAATAGAAAATCAAAAGAGACAGAACTGGGTGAAAAATACAGTCTTGTCTATAAAAAGAACTATGCTTTCAAATTAGTTGTAATTCCATCACATTAAAAATGTCTATCGTCAGAAAGAAATCATACAAACCGAAAAACAGTAAACACTATTAATGTCTGTCAGAAAAACTTACTACTGATCTTCTTTTACTGAATGATATCGAGTTGAATTGTATTATTAGTCATCTCTGTTCCTGTTGTGCATTCATTCTCGTTCTCTATTGAGGCATATTCTAGCTCAATCATGAGCTCATGTGAAACGGTAAGCAAAAGAAAATTAATTGAAAAGAATTATCTATCATCAAGAATAAATGTAGCCTTTTGAGTTGACTTAAATTCTCACAGTTAGGTGACACTTTGAATCTTCGTAGTTCATACTAAACAAACTACTATCCGTTTCAAAATATAGTGCACGTCACTGTTTTTTAAATAACTCAAGAACGCAACGAGCTAGAGACCTGGGGTTTTCACCAATCGATAGATGAGACAGAGGGGCGTCTTTTTCTCAGATAATGTGTCAGGCGAAATCCCTTTAAAACTACTCATCTTTGAAAAACATGGAAAAGAATGCATGAAAATGACCTGTCATCCAATGAAATTTTGATTTCGACCTTTGATTTAGATAGAGGAACTTGAGATCTATAGTTTAAGATATAATGCAAATACTTTTCTTATTGCATTCTAACGTTGATCAAATGGAACTATGTATTTACATGCACAAATAGTAGGGAATTTTACTGATTTTTTACTAAGTTTTTGCATTTTTATCATAAGAGCTTGACATGTCGATGAAAACGTTAGGAAAAGCAAGAAACTGCATTGTATCTTAAACTATAGATCTCAAGTACCTCTATCTAAATCAAAGGTCGAAATCAAAATTTCATTGGATGACAGGTCATTTTCATGCATTCTTTTCCATGTTTTTCAAAGATGAGTAGTTTTAAAAGGATTTCGCCTGACACATTATCTGAGAAAAAGACGCCCCTCTGTCTCTTCTATCGATTGGTGAAAACCCCATGCCTCTCATTCGTTGTGTTTTTGAGTTATTTAAAAAACAGTGGCGCGCACTATATTTTGAAACGGATAGTAGCTAGATGAAGCCTCTTCTTTGACTCTATATTAGTCTAAATTTAATTTGCATTTAACTTTTTCATGTTTGAGTTACTTTTCCCATTAATACAATTTTCAACTATTGTTTAAATGGTATCATGGTATTATAAAGATTTGTTTCATTAACTCAAGAAATTGGTACCATACGAATAGATCAGCAATGATGTAAAGCATAGCAAAATGTGATTGTAATTTATCTGAATAATGTTTGTAAATATATTTTCATTATAAAAACTAATATCTACATTCTTACAATAAACGCTTATATATGAATGTATGTTTCGATTACAATATTATCAATTAATTGATAATGAGTTGATGTAAAAAAATCTTTGTTGAAGTTGTAACTTCTTCAATCGGTGTACTATTCGATAGGGCATATATATTGAATAAAGATTTTTCAATTTTCTTTGACTATCGTCGTCTTAATCTGTTCCATAAATTTATCAAAATAGTTCTCATATATATTGCAACGTATTTAACACATTCGCGACGCTAAGACCCACAGGTGGGTCTCATTATGGTCAATCTATGAGACTAAATTGCCTTCAATTTAACACATTGTTCCTAAAAACTAATTCAGCAGTCTATCTTGTACAATTTTCAACACTCTCTCCAATGATATATTTAAAAAGCGAATAATTTCTAATTTTATCATAAAGAAATTGATCGCGACTCATCACATGCCATCTGCGTCGTTAGCCAAGTCACGTTTTTTCATAGTGTTAGCACCATATTCGAGTTTTTCTTATCCGGATTTGTTTTACGACTTGAATTGATTTCCTAATTGCTTGAGTTAGATGTAAAATTTAACTTTGCATCCAATGGTACCATTTTCATCTGAGGTCGCCGAAAAATAAACGCCATTTGTATCCCAAATACTGCTTTTTCAAGGTTTTTTGTCAAAAGTATTTCCTGTCCGGATTCGCCCAACAACTTGAGTTGAGTGTCTAATCAGTTGAGTTGGATGCAACTAGGGTCATCGAGCAAAAATAAAGGGTGATGGTAAGGATGAACAGGAGACTATGATTCTTCACTCTCTTTTTTTACTCAATGATCCTAGTGGAAAATAGTACCATTAGATGCAAAATTCAATTCTGCATCCAACTCAACTCGAGTTGTTGAGCGATTCTGGAGAGGAAATATTTTTGACAAAAAAAACTTGAAAAAGCAGTATTTGGGATACAAATGGGATTTATTTCTCGATAACCTCAGATGAAAATGATACCATTGGATGCAGAATTGAATTCTGCACCTAACTCAAGCAATTAGGAAATCAATTCAAGTCGTAAAATGAATCTGGATGAGAAAAATTGGAATATGGTGCTAACTTTACCTACGTTTTATGTTCGACATAATCATGCAAAACAAGAAAATCTTAACATTAGTGATCTAGCAGTTGATATTCAATTATTAAATATGAATGGTCGATTTGTTTCATCATTATCTCATTCTCATTCTAATCGACCATTATTAATCATAGCTGGTTCATATACTTGATCGTGTTGATGTGATTACTATTTATATTGAAGAAGCATATGCACTTGATGAATGGTAAGTTAATTAGAAAAGTTTTTCTTTTGAAATTATAATAAAATTAAATAAAATAGGCCAATTGGTAGTCGAATATGTTATGTTCAACCAAAATGTGATGCTGATAGAATTAGTATTGCAGATGATTTTATAAAAGCAACAAAATATCGAATACCATTATTAATTGATCCAGTATCAGAAAATAATCTATATAGTAAAGTTTATTGTCCATGGCCAATCCGATTTTATATTATTGATCATATGAAAAAATTAAGTTGTATAGCTCAACCAATTCAAGATTCATTTTCATTAGAATTGATTAAAAATGCATTAGATGATGCTATTCAACAATGTCAATAAAAAGTTTTTTTTTTCTTTAAGAAATAATGATTAACTGTTATTGTGATTTATTAAAAAGTCTACAATGATATTTTTCCTTGAAAGCATATTTATTATGCAGACGAAAAATTGATCTATGTTATTTCTTTTTTAATCACAACGACATAAATCATCAATTCTAGGGAAATTGTATTTTCTGTTCTTTTTTTTCTAATCAAGATAAATAAAAATTTTGTCAAAGACATAAATGTAACTTTTATTATCTACGAAATGTTTGGCCATAATTGAAATAGAATTGAATTGATTTTATATTACAAATTAATCTGGAAATGATTCCTTATAACTATTCAAACAATAGTTAACTTTTCCAGCAACAGTTACTTGTATGAAAATTAGAATTGATCCATTTTGAAAAAGTATAAAGAATGAAAATAACTGGAGATCGACAAGTTCAGTTCTAGTTCTGATATGAATAACTGCTGAAAACGTTTTCTGATCTGTCTAGATAATTTTTGTTCTATTTTTTAGAAAGGTATTTCCCGAGTAAAAGAAGACTCTTTTTATGTTACTGAAATACGATTCTTAGGACAGAACCAAACTTTCAGCCAGCTCAATTTCGGAATGTGAACTGTTGAAACAGATCGTTTGATACGATCTGATCTGTTCGAACAGCTCTTTCGTTTATTTGATCTGAAGTTTGAACTAAGAATTGGTTGAACCCTAGTAAAAGCACAGTAACTATTTAATTCGTTTGCCTAGCAGCAACAACTATAGCAAACTCATTTTTATAATTTAACAACTGTTTCAACTGTAATATTAAAATCTATTATGATAAATTTTAATGACAAATAAATGAAAAAATATTTCTTGGTTGTCAAAAAAGTTTGAATATTTATTCATTTAACAATTGCTTGGCTTTTTTCATGATAATTAATATTGATCATAGTTCGAAACAACTGATCTATCAACGATTTCATTTATTATTTATAATTGTTCTAGCATTAAATCAATTTTTGATATTTTCCACACAGATTATATCGAGCAATCATCTCCATCCAAGTGATATATTATCGATACTTTAAGAAATAGTATACTTGTATTATACAAAAGTTTCTTTCTTCCTTATTTTGCTAACGAGGGAGCGTATGCAAGTGTAAAATTGCTTTTGAGTCAGGAGTATGTTCGTCATGTAGGTCTTAGCGAGCTATGAATATCCTGACAAAAGTTCGGGCTATTGGTTTATTGCTGCCAAGATATTGTATTTTTACGACATTTTTTATTAGAATGCTGTGGTCTCCTCAGGACTCTCTAAAAACTAAGTTTCGAATTTCGATTTGAAACTTTGCGCAGAGATAGATCATAATGAGAAGAGTTTATTGTAAAAGTTTCAGATCATTTTATTTTTACTATCCTAAGACAGAACTACGATAAAAGCACGTTTTTACTTCCCAATATACACCGATATATTTTGACGTTCTTATTTCAGAATAGAAGGAATCAAAAAATCTGAAACTTTCACAATAAACTATTCTCGTTATAGTCTACCTTTGTGCAAAGTTTCATGTCGAAATTCGAAACTTAGTTTTTTTTGAGGGTCCTGAGAGAAACCACGACATTGTGATAAAAAGAATACCGTAAAAATGTAATATCTCGGCAGCAATAAACCAACAGCCTGGACTTTTTTCAGGGTATTCATAACTCACTAAGACCTATATGATGTGCCCACTTCTGACTCAAAAGCGATTTTACACTTGCATATCTTCCCTTGTAAGAGCGAAATAATCATTTTAAAAGAATGTATTAATCATTTTTTTTTAATTAAGGTCGTCAAACAACAAACATTAAACTCTAGAATTGCTTAACATAGATTATTGGGAACTTTTAATCAGTTATTATTAATAACATAGACAAGATACTATTGAAAAAAATGCTAACCTGTTTAGGAAAATCAATCGAATATGTTTCTTCAATAGAAGCCAATGAAAACAATTTTTTCTCATTTGACTCTGCCTAGCAATAGAAGTAATATATTTGTTTATTCATGGAAATAAGAACAAAAAACAGATTACTGACACAGTGTTTTACTAATATATCAGGTGCGCATGATGCAAAAACCGAGTAAAATTTGTTTTCGCATCTTTATATATCATTCGATAGAGCACGAAAAGTGAGCCGCTGATATATTATTTTTAAATCGATTAGTCCATGTTTTAGGCAAAAAAACAGTAAAAGGTTAGTAAAGTATGAAAAACGATTGAAAACAGCTAAGAAACGACCTTTCCTCAGGAATTTTTAAGGTTTTTATTATTTACATTTCAATAAATTTTTAAAAGGACTATTTTCTCACTAAGTATTAAAACCTGAATTAAAAAATGTTATTTGAAGGAGTTTGAAATGGAAATGTTGTCCGACATGGGTTTGTTGAATAAGATCACTCAAATATGTTTTTGCACTATAGAATCGCTAGATATTGACTTTCAAGCGTATTCTATTAATTTTTCTTGATTGTGTTTTATCCTTGAGAAAATTGCGTTCTTTCGATTTTTTCCTACTCATATGCTACGACTGTGAAAAATATGCACGTATTTACTTAATTTTACCGCTACTTTTTCGTGATATAAAAAACAGATAAAATATTCGGAATCAGCGCAAAAAAAGTACGACGAATCATACAAGGATATGATACGCAGTAGTTTTTACGTTGATTCCGAATATTTTATATGCTTTTCTTATATCATGAAAAAGTAAGGATAAAATAAAGGAAACATGTGCATATTTTCCACAATCATAGCGTATGAGTAGGAAAAAATCGAAAGAACGCAATTTTCTCAAGGATCAAATAAAATCGAGAAAAATTAGTCGAGTACGTTCGAGAGTCAATATCTAGGAATTTTAATGAGATATGAAACCTGGCCCTGTCTCTTAATCGAAAAAACTAGAAAGGTATATAAAAATGACTACTGCAAAATCATGTTTGAGTTCTTATTCGATAAACCCACGTCGGACAACATTTCCATTTCTAACTCAGTCAAATAACATTTTTTAATTCAGATTTTAATGCTTAGTTAGAAAATAGCTCTTGAAAAAATTTATTGAAATGTAAATAAAAAAAACCTTGGAAATTTCTGAGGAAAGATCGTTTTTTAGCTGTTTTCAATCGTTTTTCATGCTTTACTTGATTTAAAAATAATATATCACCGACCCACTTTTCGTGCTCTATCGAATAATATATAAAGAAACAAGAAAAAAACAATTTACTCGGTTTTTGCATGATACGCAGCTTAGCGTTTTTAATTATTGGAGTATTGAATACCAGGAGAAGACAGCTGTTACTCAACTACATGGAACGTATAAGTTAAAACATCGTTCATTTTCTTTTAGGATTGAGAATAACTTATCAAAACTTAACAGCATCATATACCTATACTTTATATATAAACTATGAGGCACATTAAATTTGAAGACAAATAAACATCTATAATAGAAATACTACTCAGAAAGCATAAGCTTAAAGTTTCTTTCTTTTTTCTTAGTTGAAAGTTGCTAGGACAAACTTAATCCTCCATCCCCCCCCCCCCCCCCATGTTCACAAGCGTGAACATTTGTAGAATCATCTTTAAAAAAGATTGAAATGTTTGATCCAAAACCAACTGTATGTTGGGTGTAGAGAACTTCAAGAGCTATCGATTGGTTAAAAAAAATTATGTTTTGTGAAGCCTCCAGGTGAGATATTTAAAATACAAAATCGAAAATTTTTGACGGTGTGGGTGTAGTTTTCAAACTTCTGTGGTCTCTTGGGCTTTAAAGCTTTTTCTGATTTTAGAGCTGGTATCTATAGACTAAGTGCTCATCAGTTGGACCAACTACTTTATGGAAATTATGCGTTAGTTATTAGCTAAGAGATACCCATTGCCACGTAATAGCCACAGGCGTGGACATGGGGGTGGGGGAGCGACATGGAAACAGCCATGATAAAGTTAGCAGTATATTCAAGTGTCTTAGCCAAATATCAGTCCAGTGACTTATATAGAAAACGATGATGCTTGTGTCACATGTTAGGTCATTATAAGTGCTAAAATTCACACTGAAAATCCGCCCTAACCTTACCTTTGAGGTCTCAATAAACATTGATCAATCTGAAACTATTACATAACTAACTGATAGTTCTCTCGAAGTTTTATCCGACACAAGTTCTTTTACTGTGGACACAGTCACTGAGTGAATACTAGACGGAAATACAATTTTTCCAGAAAAAATAATGTGTAAAACACAAGGTTTTGTAGATTTTCTATGTCGTATGCTGAACAAAAGGCTTTCGAAAAGTATGCAATTCACGCTATATTCGATTTTCTGTTTAAGACGAGCTTTATTTTTTTTTGGCAAAGGCCACTGAATGAATATTTGGCTAAAATCCTTGAACATGCTGCTATCTGAACTTAAGTCGAATCCATGTCATTCCTTTCGATATCCACGCCTGTGAACATTATATAGCACCAAGAATAAATAACTTAATGGTTTTAACGATATGACATTCACATACTGCTGAATAGTAAGCTTCCTATCAGTGGTGAGCTTATTTGTAAACCTTTAAGAAAGTCCGTGGGGGTAAAGGGTTAATTTGGGATAATATTGCTATTTTATTGAGATATTTATTAATGCTTTTATTTAATAATTCACTTGATGTTGCTTTACATTTATCATTTTTATTTCATATTGTTACATTACTTGTTCGCACAGCTTCTTTAACATTACGTGCATCAACATGTGATCTTGTTATAAATATTTTAGATTCATTATGTACATGTTCTTAACCATAATTTAGTGATGAAACTTAACGTGTACTTCGTTTATTATTAACAAAATTTTCTTTACCAAAATTTTATGCTTTATTTGGTTTATCAAAAGTTAAATCAGCAAATGTTATTGCATTTTGCACAGGTATAATAGGACAATAATATTCAAGTCAAATATTATCACAAGATAAACAACAAATTTCAATGAACATTCAATGACAATAACAAATGTATATTCTCCAACATTTGAACAACTTGAAAGTATGAGTTTAACATTACTTGAAACAATAATAGACACTTTATTAGAATTAATGAAAGTTTGTATGAATAATATACCTGATTGTCAATGGTTAGGACAATGGCAAGAATTAGCTAAACGTTTTGCTTTTTAATTTAATCCTACTTTACAACCAAGAGCTATATAAGTTTTTCTTTTCTTTTTCTCTCAAAATTTTCTTTTTAGGCATAGTTTATGGTTGCATATCAAAAACAACAAGTGATGGAGAAATCAAAGCATTATTACGAATACTTGTTAAAACGCTTGAATCATTTTTTGATATTGATTTAATTGATTCAGTAATAATGTGTTTAACACGTTTATTATCATTATTATCATCGGAATCAAAAATACATAAATTTATGTCTTGGATTGCTTTATCAATACTTCAATTAGAAGAAACACAATTATATGCATCGGATTTATCTTTACTTGAAGAAAATTTACATATACTTGGTTATATGTTAAATTTATTTGAAAATACAAATACACATCAACAACAAACTTTAGAAAGAATTATGATGGATGCAAGAAAACCATTAGAATGACAATTTACACAATTAGATGTTAGTATGAATTTATTATTTAAATCGAATTTTAATTTTGTACTTATGATATGAATAAAAATATCCAAGAGAATATTTATCTTTCAAATTCAAGTTCGATCTTCCATTATTTTAAAGTGAATTGTCGTATTAAATAAAACAAAACAGATCAGAGATGAATGTTTATTTAAAACAAAAAAGATCAAAGATGAACGTTTATTTAAAAAAAACAGATCAGAGATGAACGTTTATTTAAAAAAAAAACATCAACTAATCTAAGACTTTTTCTTTTTGGTTTTGTTTTTAAAATATCGAAGTTGACTGACATCACGTGCCGATAACACACTAACTATTTGTTTGACAATCAATGTATGTGGATATTCTTCAGGATAAAATTCATTTTGCATATGTTTCATAAATGATTGTTGTTCATCGACAGAATCGATTTTAACATGTGCTAAACCATGTCGTTGATTAGATATTTTACGTATATTGAGAAGTTTGAATGGTACATGAATTAATTGTTCTAATTCTTTTTCAATTGGTGTTACTAATTTAAGAATTGATGTATGTCCTTGTATTCCCAGGACGAACAAACCGACAGTGGATCCCATCGGATCCTATCGAATCCTATCCAGATCCCATAGGATTTTATTGGATCCGGGTCACGATCCGACTAACGGATCCATAGTATTGGAATCCGATCGGAATCCGATAGGATACTATAGGAATCTCGTCGAAATCCGACTGATGGGGTTCCTATCAAATCCGACTGTTGAATTTGATCGGATCTCTGTCGGATCCGATCGGATGTCTCTCGGATTCCAACACTAGGATTTGTTCGTCGGATCGTGACCCGGATTCCGATCGGATTTTGTAGGACTCGTTGGATCCTATAAGATACCATCGGATCCGTGTCGGATTGATTGACCTGGGTTGTTTCACTGAATACATCTTTTCGATCAATTTGTAATGATTCAAGTAATTGCATCTCAAGTATACACCATTGATCTAGAAAAAAAAATAGATTTTTTAAATTATTAATCATAGTTTACCAGTTAATTGTTGCCAATTATCAATTTTTGGATGATTTGTTGCACGTATTGCTTCATCAACATAATAAAATTGAAAAAGACGTACTACTTCATAAGCTTCCACCATTATATTTTGAATAGATGAACTTAATTGTAATGAATCAATTGTTTTAACTAAATGATCAATTTTTGACTGTTGTAATTTATCTTGATTTTTAAAATCGTTTAAAATTTTTTGTTGTTCTTGATTTAAATTTTGTAGATCTTGCAATACTTTTTGTTGTTGTGCATTTGTAGCTGCAAATTCTTCTAATTGTTTAGCTTTTTGTTGATTAATAGTTTGAAATTCATTACGTTTTTTTTCTTGTTCATTCATATGATGTGAAAATAAATTAATAGAAGATTTTAATTTTTCCATTTCCTTTAATATTGAATTATAAATATCTTTAAAATTTTCTTTCATTGAATTATTAATATTCAATGTAGATAAAACATTGTTGATACAATTATCAATGTCATTATTGCTTGTTAAAGATAATTTAATATTATCAAAAGCTGATTTAAATGTTTCATAAGCTTTTTTCTTTCTTTCATCTGTTTCATTATCATTAATAATCAAATCATTCTCATTTAATATTAGATAAATGGAATCGAATATTTTTTGCTTGTAAATTTCCATGATGATAATGAATATATATTGAAAGAAATAACACTCAAATTATTTATCTGAAATTAAAAAAAAAATGTCAGACGTTTCAATCAGTGGCGTAGCCAGGATTTTGGGCTAGGGGGGGCTCAGCCCCTCAAAAATTTTCGACCCATCTTAGGTATATGAAACTTATCTGTAAACCCAATATAGAGGTGATTTTTGTTTATTCTGATTCTTTCCTCAAAATATAAGCTGAGCTAACAAATATAAAATGGCAAAAGATGTTCGATCTTCATTCAATTGAAATAACAACAATAGATGAAATAAATGTGGAAACCTCGGATTTATATCCGAGAGTTATGTGTACTTCAAAAAGTGAATGAGACAAATCAGTCATCCTAGAATATCTGGATATAAAAATTAGCCGGGCAAACCTTTTCTATTGACACTTGAATTCAATTGGCTACTGCTCAACCAATAGGATTTGGAGGTGAATACAGCTCACATTTGAACTATTTGGTCCCGGACATACAGAAAAAAATAAAACGAATTAAGCAACGTGATTGGTCTATTTCGATTTAAATCGTCTTTTTGAGACGATTTATTCGTTAATTCAGTTTTAATTCACTTTGAATTAGTCGGTGTTCGGGGTCTTCGCCTTGATTTACTCTAAGAAAGTCGTTTTCCCTATAACTTGATTTCTATTGGTCAGTGCTCAATCAATGGAGCTTCGAGGCAAGTGGAGTACAAATTCGAGTTCTCCATCCCGAAAAACCCTGGAGTATCGCCTTTGCGATCAGAAGATAGAGCTCTAATTGTGGATCAATTAGAGCGTGGACAAGAACAGAACCGATTTCCGTTTATTTATCTTTGCAATAGGTGAGTTAGCTTCCTTGCTTCTTGATGCGTTATATACCATTTTGTAGCTCGTGAAATTCTCTGTCGAATGGTATATAATAATTGGGGTTTTATGTGACCATGATCGGGAAAGCCTTTTACAAAAGCAGGGACTGGTTGATCCTCACATAGGAAAGCATAGAGGAAAATAATTATTTTTACAATAACTCACCAATGGCTCGGACACTCATTCTCATCTTCGAACTAAACCGAGATATTGTTGGGACAAAACTGTGTAGAAAATTTCATCATGATTGAACTCTGCTTTCAAAAGTTATCACGTAAACGGCCGGTCGCTCGGTCGGACACACTGACCGATTCTAGAGTGTACTTACTTTTTGAGTACACAAAAATTTTGCTCTTGAATGGGAATAAATATGCAGTTGAACTTTCTTCTTTTTATTCTTCTTTTTTGCTCTTTTCTTGCCTATTTAAACGTATGTACTGGAATGGACGAAGACAACTAGCTTGTAAAAATTAATTTTCTTCGTCCATTCCGGTATAAAAATTCAAATAGGCAAGAAAAGAGCAAAGAAGAAGAATAAAAAGAAGAAGATTCAACCACATATTTATTCTCATTCAAGAACAAAATTTTTTAACTCTAAAAAAAACGTATTACGTTCGAAACGTTGGTTATAATATATATTGTTATATATTTATATTTACATTTATATATTTTACTCTCCATTACTATGTTAAATTTTTATATAATTGTAAATAATAATTTATATAAAATATTTAATAAATTAAGAAAAAGCTAAATTTTTTAAAAAATGATCAATACAATCTACCTAAGACGTATGAACTTTCATTCTGATTTCACAACAACAGACATCGCTTTACTCTGATACGAACCAATCACTGCAGCCACCTGCAAAGCTGAAATAAACTACTCATAACCTAATAAACCTAATAAACCTCATTAAAACTTGTATTCGCATTTACTGTATTTTCTTTTATTCAAAGACATATGAGTTGCACAAAATTAAATATATATGTTAAAAGGTAAAATTGCAAACACTAATCTATTTTGGTATAAAAAGAATATGTCTTTCTAAAATTTCGCCAGGAGGGGCTCAAAAGTCCGTAGGGGGGGGCTCAGCTCCCCCTGGCCCCCTGCTGGCTACGCCACTGGTTTCAATTCATATTCATACTTAATTAAAGAATTATTTTATTTTCATTGAATTTATACTCCAAAAATGAAACCATTGTGATATACAACAATATGACCTCTACGAATGCATCAGATACAAAAACTAGAGAATAATTTTTTTGTTCTAATTTATTGATGAAAGTTTATACCAATTGAAAATAAGGAGATAGACATGATTCATTATAACTCAATTTGTTCCGTTTGTTAGCGCGTCAAGAAATCATATAGGTTTAAAATAATACTCGTCTATTTTTCTGTGATGGCACCACTTTTCAGGCACTACTTTTTTTTCCTCAGATTAATCATACGTCTGCTTATTCTAGCAGCATCTATTCTTATGATCAATTAAACAAAAATAATTCTAATAAACTGCTAATCTTTTTATATCTCTCGAATACTTTTTGAAAATTGTCTTACTATAGGATAAGTCAATTAGATAATACATAAACGAAAAAACATAGTGCAGCTAAAGGAGGTCAATCATATCGATAATAATATATTAGATTTCTTTTATGTCTAACATACTCCATATCGTTTTCTGGTATATGGAATAATGATGTGGAAACTCTATTATATAGTTCAATCAAATTCCAAACTATTTCTAATAAATCATTTGTTTTTTTGTGTACTCAAAAAGTGAGTACACTCTAGAATCGGTCAGTGTGTCCGGCCGGCCGTCCGTTTACACGATAACTTTCGAAAGGAGAGTCCGATCGCGATGAAATTTTCTACACAATTTAGTCTTAATAATATCTCGGTCGAGTTCGAAGATGAGAATGATTGGCCGAGCCATTGATGAGTTATTGCAAAAATAGTCATTTTTCCCTATGCTTCCCTATGAGAAAATCGACCCTTCTCTGTTTTCCTTAAAAACTTTTCCAATCATAGTCAATTAAAACCCCAACTATAATATACCATTCGATAGACAATTTCACGAGCTACAAAATGGTATATAAAACATAAGGAAACAAGAAAGCTAACTCACCTATTGATAAGATAATTAAACAGAATTCGGTTCTCTTTTCGTCCACGCTCCACGTGATCTGCAATTAGAGCTCTATCTTCCGATCACAGAGATGATAGTTCGAGGTTTTCTGGAGTCGGGAACTCGGATCTGTGTCCCATTCGCCTCGAAATCTCATTGGTTGAGTAGTAACCAATAGAAATCAAGTTATAGGAAAAACGAGTTTCTTAGGGTAAATCAAGGTGAAGAGTTCAAATCTGAGCTGTATTCACCCGCAAATCCTATTGGTTGAGCAGTAGCCAATAGAAATAAAGTGTTTATAGGCAAAGTTTATTAGGATAGTTTTTATGTCCACACATTCTAAGATAACTCATCTGTCTCATTCACTTTTTGAAGTACACATAACTCTCGGATTTAAATCCGAAGTTTCCACATTTATTTTCATATAATAATGGCATGTCAATGATAAAGATATACGAATCTAGATAATATACTTCGGAATAATTAACGTTAACCCATTGATAGATATCATTGATATTCGTTTGCCAATTGATTTTGTTCAACAATGAACAAAAAATCTTCATTTTAGTTCCAATTGAAAAATCTTTTTCAAATAGATTCCTAAAGATTATTTCGATTAAAAAGAGAATAGAAACTGATAAATGATCTATATACACTGTGCCAACCTGTCATCTATAATAGTAATTAATGATGGTTTACTAGAAAAACATTAGAAAAGACTTTCTATATAAACTCTATCAAGTGTTATTTCAATATGATTTAAATTTAATTCATATCATATTTAATTATGAAATATTGAGACCGAGTAAGAAAACAAAACTTCACTAATTATCATACTAAATTCACCGGACACAAAAAAAAAGGGAAAGCACAGGATTTATATTATTTGTTATTTATTTGGAGATCAATTTTCTTCTCATATGATAATCATATTATAATTAATGATCTGGAGAAAAAAAAGGATGACTCAAATATGAGATATGACATTGATAGATGTCTGATTATTTATTGGATATTTTATAAAACTATGATAGAGTTCGATTCATTTAGAATTTCTTTTTTTCCCGTCAGAGAGACTATTGCAAAATCTGAACTAAATTTTAAAATAATACACAGTCAATTATCGGAGTTGACCAATCTCAATATATCTCAGATAATCTAGACTTATACTTAGAACAATATCTGGTAATACTTGAAATTACGCTAGATACAACTAATCATATAGTTGACAATATATTTTCAGATTTTCGATTGATCAAATATCTGATTAGTTGTGAACTTATAAACGAAATTTAATGGAAAGCAGTAAGATTTTTCTTCGAATTGAATTAAAATAACCGTTATAGATATTGATATTTATTTCGATGAATTCGATCTAGAAATAAATGTTTGCATATGTAGAAGGCAATTTATGTTTTTTATCGTATCATCTAGAAAATATTCTTGATTAAAATTAAGATTATAAAAAGATTGTTGAATAAAATCGTCTAGATATTCCTGATGAGAGTGTTTAGGAAAATAATCGGAAATATTTTAGTAATCATTGATTATTTTATTGAACAAAATCACCTACTCAATCAATTTATTTACGTAATACAACGATATTTTCGATAATAAAAAATTGATTTCATTTTAATAAATTGTTGGAATTAGTCTATAGTCAATGTTAGGAATAATTGATTTCGAATTAGTATAAAACTTCTAAAATCAAATAAATTATTTTTTTTAATTAGTTTGTTGAGATAAAAGAACAACTAATAAGTAATCTTACTGTTAGATTGAATTGCTTTTATTTTATTAATCTTTGAATGTTGATTTTAGATAAGGAAATCTTTATTCAAAATATCTTCACAAAACGTTTCTATAAAAGTAAAACTTTAAGTCGTTTCGTAACGAGATGAATATTATTGAAACTAACGGGTAGAATACGTCGATTTTTCAATGAATTAACCCTCCTACGGTTTTTGTGGGTCCGACAAGACCCACAATATTG